TATTTCCTATCTATTTCCTCCTAATTTCGTAGTAAGAAATTATTTCCTCCTAATTTCGTAGTAATATTTTACTACGCCTTTACGAGGAAAGTGTTTACAACGGCCTTACGAGGAAAAGTACTTTTTCCTCGTAATCTCCTCGTAAATGTACTAAGGTCTTACGAGGAAAGTGTTTCCTCGTAAGTTTTCGAGGAACTTATGAGGAAATTTGCTTTCCTCGTAAGATCCTAGTAAAAGCTTAGTAAATTTACGAGGAAGAGTTTTCCTAGTAAAATTTCCTAGTAAATGCTTTGTTTTCTTGTAGTGTTATTTTCTAATTGGGGTATATTAGAATACTTTCCCATTCGTATAGGGGTATAGAGTAATCGCCTATTCGAATGATCAAACTAGAGAGCGCTGTTATGTAATAACATGATTTTGCTTGGTAAATCATAACTATGATTAATTAAGAATATTACAGGATGAGTCTAAGAATTTGTTTAAACATTGTTAAGAATTCTTATTAAAAAAATTCATAATTGAGTACTTATTCTTATGTAAATAGACTACAAATAATTGGGGGCCAAACCAATCTTTCATTAGGTTTGACCCAAATCTGGCCATATTTATTGGTTACATAAAACGTTGGAAGAGATCAAGGATTTTGTTGTCCAGGAGCTCCAGGTCCTTTTTTACGAGCTGGCGGCGATACACTCCTTGAGACACCTACTTTTATACCTGTAGATATTCCTTCCCCTTATAATTGTAAAACAAAACAAACAACAAAATGAGATGAGAATTGAATATAAATCCTGTTTGAAAGCTTTCTTAAAAAACATATATTCTGTTTACAAATTAAAAATATATATTTATAGATTGGTCTAGTTAGGTTTAATAACTGTGAAGTTCAACAAGAAGGTAACCATTTAACAGAGAAAACATTCACTTACTCGGCAAGGTTAAGGTTCGAGCCACTGCTGCGTTGTCGAACGCAGAGAATAAGAGAAGAATCAAAGCGAGTATCGATAAAACATGACGATTCATCTCTTTGCTTGTTTATTCTTTAGGTTAAGATTAATCTGAGAGAGGTAGTGTAATATCAATGTTCTGTACTTCTTATATAGAGAAGGAGATCTTTATGAAACATTGGTATAAGTTGGTTAAAGCCGCACCTTTTGTTATTTTTACACAGCTTCTTTTGAATATTCAACTACTAATATTCACGCGTAAAAGGAGGCAATTACATATGAATGCGATCGTTGACTAAACAAGGTACTGCACTGTTTCTTAGAGTCGAGAGCAAAAACACCACCACAAAGCTGACTTTTGCCAAATTCTCCAAAGAAATTGTTCAAAAACATAACGATAAAAGGCTTTTGTTTTCCAAAGAGTAGCACTCAACCAAATCCGATATGCGTTATGTACAGACAAACAAACAAAAAAAACAGTTTAAAAGTTGAACCGTGGTCTCATGAAAAAGTCTTCTGTTGCCTCAAGAAACATGTTTCAACTTGATCGATTGCTGTCTTGAGATGAGGACGAGAACAAGTTGCTAAACGGCCATGGGATTGAGAATTCGATCCTACCACCATCATTGTTCTCCTCCTGGCGGTTTCCATTACTGTTCTCAGTCTCCTGGCTGCTGCTTGTAGAATGAGAGTCACCACCACCAACTCCATTGTTGTCATTTGCTTCTGTTGTTGTTGCTGAATCATCAGTCTTAGTCTCATCTGTAGGCAACTGATATCTACAAACTGGACATGAACTGTGAAGCTCAAGCCACGGGAGCAAACAATCACCATGGAAGTTGTGTTTACAAGGCATCTGTTTCGCTTCGATCCCAACCTCAAAATCCTCCAAACACACAGAACACTGGAGACTAGCCTCTTGAATTTTAACAGTAGCCAAAGACTCAACATCTTCTTTACGAGCTGGAGGTGTTCCATACCTGTTGGGATCATTCTCTGNTGAAGCTCAAGCCACGGGAGCAAACAATCACCATGGAAGTTGTGTTTACAAGGCATCTGTTTCGCTTCGATCCCAACCTCAAAATCCTCCAAACACACAGAACACTGGAGACTAGCCTCTTGAATTTTAACAGTAGCCAAAGACTCAACATCTTCTTTACGAGCTGGAGGTGTTCCATACCTGTTGGGATCATTCTCTGCTAAACGCTCAAGCAGGGCTTCGAATCCAGGACCGATGAAATACTCACTCAAAGAACCAACAACAAGAGAGCTTGGGATAGCGATGATTGGATTGTTGGGATTGATGACGATCACGCCTCCTCTCTCTCCATTTCCCCCATTGTTGTTGTTGTTATCATCAGGCTCAAGTGTTGAACCTCCTGATCTTACTCCCTGAAGCAACTGCACAGCGGAAACAGAACGTCTTCCACTTCTCCTCCTAAGAATCTCTTGAAGAGTTGAATCCAAGTCTCTACCGTTTCCGGTTCCATTCTCAGCACTCCGGTTCCTTGTGGCGTAGTTGTCCATCATTTCCATCAAGTTGGAAGCCCAGATAGAAACGGTTGGTGCTCTCTGATCTGGAGAGCGGTGGGAATCCTCGTCCACCTCTTCAACGAAACCGCTTCGACAAAAGGGGCATTTGATCTCTTCTTCGATCAATGCGTTCACGGTTTGGGAACACATGTGGCACCAGTACCTCGTTTCGTTAGCTTCTTCCATGGCCTATTCCTGTTCATAGGATCAAAAAGCAACACTCAGTCTCTAACAAAATGAAGAAGAAGCAAATCTAGTCTCGGCTAAAAGATTAGCATGAGGCGAGAAGGAACATCAAACCCTAGAACAAGTCTTCATAACAAAACCCCATTTTCGCAAACTCGCACATATATATCCAAATAGGAAAACTATTATTTAACAAAGGAGAGACTATAATAGAGACAACAAATGTTCGTGATTAAAAAAAAAAAAAAGACGAATCTTTGTAAAAAAATCATAAAAAAATAAACAAAACAAGAATCTGCGTTGTAAAGAGGAAAAGAAAGATAAGAAAAAAAAACAGTCGAGTCATGGAGATTTACCTTTTTTTCTCAAACCTTCTTCAACAACAGATGAATCTCTCAGACGAAAGAAATATAGAGAGCGATAAGGAGCAATTTCTGATTGTTTTGGAAAATTAGAATGAAGAGAAAGAGAGACGAAGGGTTTAAGTTTTGTGTGGAGGAGTGCTGATTCCAGATCCTTCTGGGTTTCTCTCTTGTCTGCCTGATTACGACATTATGCTTTTATTAATTAAATCACTCGACTTTTTCTCCAAAACATTATTTATTGAAGTTCATTAATTTTGGGTTTTATTTAATACAGTAGGCTCTTTTAGCTCGACTCTCTCGGGGACTTTTTTTCATATTTTTATTCTATGGGTTTAAACGGTGCGAGTTCGGATACAAGACTTGGGTGTGATTAAAGTTTCTTGTAGAAAATCCGAACAATGGCATGTTTTGAGCAAACTCTCAATTTATGAAAACTCGATAAAGTCTCCAAACCGCATCAACCACCACCCCATTTCCATATTAACCGGATTCAAAACATGTCCAAACCTCATATCACATGGACCGGATTTAAACCATGTACAATCCTCCGATCCTGCAAAACAATCTCCTCTCATATCATGTCTCTCTGCAACATGTAACTACAACCTTCATGCTCATCAACGCTTTTGAGCAATCCACAAGACTCGAGCTGTAGTTTATAAGTATTTTTCTGTTCTCAAGATAATCTCCTTCTAAACTCATATCAAACAAACAAACAATGACAAGACTTAACAACGCCCCGAATCTTTATACTATCTCCATTGAAACCAAAACAAAAAAGTATCTCCATTTACACACAAAGAAGATAAATCCGGAGTAGATTCTGACTCTATTCTAACCACATAATCCCCAAATAAATAAATGTTTTCATACAAAATAAATAACCGAAAAAGCATAAAAAACGGTGCTTACTTGTTGTCAACATATAGAATCTCATCCTCTGGCAGGCATGGTGGGTATATAATCTTCTTGTCCTTTGTACGAACATGGAGACTATTTCATGATTCTCTCACTTACGGGATACTACTTGCGCATCTGCTTCAAATCCTAAACCTCAGCTAATGCAAAGCAGACACTTCTTTGTTTAGATATGCTAAGATAGCACCACCTTCCTTGAATGGAGGTTTCGCTCATAATGAAGACTTCCCCGGCAGTTGCTTCAAACCTTTCTCTTCCTACAAATAATTGAAACGAGTGTTGTCTTACTATATGTGATACCAGAGAAACAGGACACAGCGCAATACGACCAAGAGACATAAAAAATGTTGAATCAATGGACACTAACATCAATTGCATGCAATGATCTGGATGTGGGGGACTTAATCTGAGAGGCTTCTTCTGCAGATGGTGATCCATTGTTCTCAGCTGAATAATGATTAACCTACAAAAGGATACAAATATGAAAAAAAATGGATAGATTGAGTGACTTGTTCAATGCTGTTAGCTGAGACTTCTCATTAGTATCAGTAGTGTATCACCATGTAGTGTCTGCTAAACAGGAGATTACCATTACTAAGTTCTCTTGTTCTTTCTTTGCATCTACCATAGGACATAGAGTTAAAGGGAGAGAATTATCTAGCCTAATTTATCCCAGACCCAGTATAAAGCACTACATCCACTAAAGCTAATACCATTCAGAAGAATCATGAACACACTTTGTAGATGATGACTTAATAGAGTAACTAAGCATGAAGAAATACAGATTGAGAAACTTGAGCAGATAAAAATACAAAAACTCGAAAGAGATAACAAAATGGTAAGCACATAGACAAGTGGGAGAGTAGAAAATCGAAAAAAAAAAACACCTGTGCTGCGATGGGTGAACTCATATTGGATTGGACCTCTTCAAAAAGAGAGGTGTAGTAGGCAGGGTCGTAGATAGAACCACCCAAGATTTCTTCAGCAGCACCTGAACACTGCCTGTCTATAGCAGGAGTCGGCGGATTCAAGAAGCTGTTCCGCAAATCCGAATCCGTTTCACGGGGAAGCGAAGTGTCTACAATAGAAGCACCAAGCCTATAAATCTGAAACCACAAGAGAGAAGAAGAGAGCCTGACAAAGAAACCAATCATCTCCATAGCCATAGTTAGCTTCACTGAGAATATAAAGAAAGTCCCATACGTCTCAGCTGAGATGCTCCTGCTTCATCAAAGGATGATATAATATGAACAATAATGTCTCCAAAAGGTGAGAAGCTTAGATGAGAGGATTTTACAATACCAAATCTCTTGGGTGAAGAGGATGAACCATGAGATATCGAGAAGAAGAGCACAGAAGAGGAGAACAGCGTAGGTGCGGCCCAGGCTTTGGCTATTGCTTTCGATTGCCACTAGCGCAAACAACGCAATCACCAAGTTTATTAGTAAGACTCCATTGTATAAGGCTCCTAGTGATCCAATCAGAGCGCAACCAATCTGAAAAAAAAAAAAAACAATTTCGAATCGATGTGAACCCTAGACCTAGCCAAAATAGATTCGAAGAGAGAGAGAGAGAGAGAGGGATGACCTGAGCGTAGATGAGGATGATGGCGAGAGATTGGAGTTTAACATAGTCGCGAAGCCAAGGCTGTATTCGATCTCGCAAAGAACCACAAAGCATCATCAATCTCCTCCCTTCTTCATAAATATCTACGACGCTTCTGATGTCCAAATGATCTGGCGAAACGACCGAGAAAAGAGTTTTGTGTTGGCGGGATCACATGGAATCGAAGAAAGATCAAAACATCATATACATTCTCTCCTCAGATATTATTACAAATCTCTTTAAACCTAATTTTAAATCAAATTTGTATCTCTTAAAATGAAATTATATCAAAATAAAAGACTGGAATACTCCTATGTCAGTTTGTTTATAATTTTCTCCAAATTGAAAAATCACTTAAAAATTTAGAAAAGATATCTTATTGTGATCATGTGAATAAAGAAATAAAAAAGCGTAACTGCATTTTGATCCAAAAGAAAGCTAGCTGTATAAGCCATCAATACATCCACGTGAGAGTTTAATCCGCATTTTGCTTACCATTAAAACAAAACAAAATGAGAACACTAAACATACACATAAATGGTCGTGGTTTAATGGAATTGACTCCGTGCGCGAGGATATTGGATTCCGGTTGCGTCCTAGTTTGTTCTGGTTTTCCGGTGAGGATGGTCCCAGATAATGGTCAGCTCTTTGAGTTAAAGTTGACCGGTTTTCTCCATACGGTCATTCCGTTTTTGCTGTTCGAGTGGGTGAGGTTTGGCTTCTCTATCCTTATATTTTCTCGGAGGATCTCTTCCAGTTTGTTTGGTGGTTAAGTAGCTCCGATGTGAGGTGTTTGGAGTATGGCGGTGCTGTCTCATTTCGTTTCCTCTCTATCGGAATCCGGTGGGTTTTGCAACCATGGATATGGTCTTTTAGTCCATGTACGCAGGCTGGAGATGTGGTACTTGGTTCACTCTGATCTTTTTGTGCGGTTAAGGTTTCAGAGGGTGTCGTCTATGACTCCTGGATGGTCTTTCACTATGAGTCGTCTCTTCAAAACTCCTATGTTCGGTGCTTCTTCGTTATGCTATGATTGAAGGCTGATGCTTTCTTGTGGAGTGGTGCCTCTGTTCTTTCACGATGCTCTGATTCTGTCTGGTGTCAGAGTTGGTTCTTTCAACTTAGAATGTTACTTCTTCGGTTCTCGAAGACTTCAAGTGGTGTAGCGGTTCTCGGTTGCAGTCGTTGGTCGTCCCTGTGGCATGCTTGGATTTACTCACATCCCAGCATTGCATAAGATCACTTGAACTTGTGTGGTGGTGCAGCATTTCTGCTCTTTGCAAGTCTTGAAGCTTTGGGTTGGTGCTAGACGGTGATTTCAATCCCGCGTTTTGGATGGTTTCTGTTTTGTGTGGCTGTTCCGTCTCCAATAAATGCTCGGTTTGTCAATGCGGGTGTTTGCCCTCTGGCATGACGGTCTGATTGTGCCGATGGGTGCTCTTGAAGTCTATTGTTAGTTGTTCTTGATCGCGCCATATCTTAAAGATCAGACTCGTCGGAGAGACCAAAATTACTGACTCTTCCTTTTGCGGCAAATGGCAAGTACGGATTAGCTGATACCTCTGATCTGCGGCTTTTGCTTGTTGTGTATGTTCTGGCTTAGATAAACCGAATCATTGTTTAGTTTTTTTTCTTTCGTCTGCTTCTTGTTTTTATTGTATTTGTGTAAAAATTTGAAAATTGATAATAATATCTTTATATTTTATCAAAAAACACAAAAAATTGATGTCTGATATATATATATATATATATACCACTTGACTATAGTGTACATAGGGTGTTAACAAGCTACACCAATATTTTTTTCGATAACAAGCCTCAAACTCCATAAAGATAAAAGATTGGCTTGCATTTGCATAGTGACTTTGCCAAAAAAAAAAATAAGTTTATATAAATAACGTTGTATAATAAATAATGTTATTTTTCTTGCCAGAATAGTACGATATTAGCGAATCAAAAAAAGATGATGATCACGGAGATTTTCTTATTTGAGAAAGTAGAGATTTCTTAATTTGATAGAGTGTGTTAGGGTTTGGCGAATCGAAAATTGATGATGGTGATAGGGATTTGCTTATTTGAGAGCTGTCTGAATTTCATAGAGTTCATCAGTACGTGTGGCTCTCAGGTGTAGAAGGCCATTTTGAGCCTGGAAAGCAATAGTCTCAAATGGTATAGTATTGAATTGGCCAACCGTAAATAATACTTTATGGAATTAAGGGAAAATTCCTTGCTTGGTTTGCACCAACTCAAGAGTTAATTTGTCTCAAAAGAGATCCTGAAGAATACACCAATTTCTGAGATTGTTTACGAGAACTATGTCGACTGCGTTTTGTTTGGTAAAATAAGAGTCATTTCCTCAGATTTTTTTCTTTGTCAGAAGCTTTACTAAGAAAGTTGAATCATAAGCGTTACAAAAAGTTGAATCACTTGAAAAAGAGAATTCAGCAAAAAAAAGCAAGAACATTGCACGAATTGCCAAAATAAATCTCTACTCGAGCCTGACCAAAAAAATTCTTCATTTTTGTTGACTTTTTTAGGTTATTAAGCAACTTAGGATTGGCTGACCATATTAACACACAGTGAACCCACAATTAAGACGGTGTTAACTAGATGTTACATGTTGCCATTAAGTAATACGACGTCAATTCATCCATTTGTTTGTTTAAGACAAAATCTCTAGACGACGTCGTTTTGTTTAATTAAAATTGTTGTCCGATGGAATTGAACTCATGCACTCGTGGTCCTTAGGGGGTATTTGCCATTGAGCTAGTGTACTTTCCGAGAGATTACCATACTAATTTATTTTTATTGATCAATAGATGTGGATGATTGAAATAGAAAAAAACGTAACCTTAATTTCTTAGAAACCCAAATCGATTTGAGGATTTTTCTCTTTTGGAAATGAAAATAAGTATCAACTAAATTATTTTACATATCTTTTTTCTAATTGTTTTTTTTTTAAAAAGGTTTAGAAAAGTGCTATTAAATAATTTTAATATTACTATTATTTGTAAAAATCGTTTTCATTATCTTAGTATATAAATTTTGTTAATCATGATTTATTTTACAATACATAAAATATTAAAAAGGAAAATTACTATCAAATAATATTTTATTCAGGATTCTACAAAAGTCCAATTGGTAATAAATAAATGATTTTATGAATATTTTTTTGTTGAGGATTTGTAAAAAGGAAAACTACAATTAAACACCCTTTAATTTATTTTTACTTTAAAAAATATTTTTGTAAATATTTTTATTTAGGATTTTAAAAATGGAAAATTACTATTACGTAATATTTCTGATTATTATTTTTAGAAAATCAAATATTTTTTTGTAAAATATTTTATTTAGGATTTAAAAATGGAATTTTACTATTAGATAATAATTATAATTATTTTTTTTAACAAAATTCCTTTTTATTATCTAAATATATATATCTTATTATATAAATTTTGTTAATATATGAATAAGTATAGTTCTTTTGGGTTTTTGTATTTTTAATTAGGATTGAATAAAAGAAAATTAACATTAAACACTTTCTTACAATTTTTTTGGTTTAATATTTTTAAAAAGGATTATTATTTTCAAATTTATTTTACAATTTTTTCTATTTATAATTTTTGAAATTGAAAGTTAGTATTTAATAAGTTATTTGTACATATCGTTTTTGGTACAAGATTTAAAAAAACGAAAATTGTATTAGTTTTTCAAAAAAATGTGTTAATATGTGAATAGTGATAGTTCTTTTTGGTTTATGATCTTTTTAATTAGGATTTGAATAAAAGAAAATTAACATTAAACACTATTTTACAAATTTTGGTTTAAAATTTTAAAAGATTTTTAAAAGGATAATTACTATAAATATATTTTACAATTATATTTTTAATGATTTTACAAAAATAAAATTAGTATTAACACATGTCACAATCTTAGATATATAACTGGCATGTGTCACGATCGTGTCAATTAGTAACTTTAAGGAACCAAACTTTATAAAATAAGAATAAATATCATTTAAAAAAGGAAACAAAATATTATCGAATTATATTATTTTTTAAAATTAAAAGATAAAAATAAATAAAAAATAATAATAGTTGCAAATAAAAAACTTTTTAAAAATATAATTTAAATACCGTCAGCAAAACACTAAACCGTAAACCCGTGGATAAATCCTCAACCCTTGGATTAATTTTAAACGCTAGGATTTATGATTAATCCAAGAGTATAGATTTTATCCAAGAGTTTAAGATTTCGGGTTTAGTGTTTTGTTGACGGCATTAATATATGTTTTAAAATGTCAAGGATTTATCCAAGGGTTTAGGGTTTACAAAAGGGTTTTAAGGTTTAAAATTTATGGTTTAGGGTTTAGTGTTTAGTGTTTTGATAATAGTATTAAAAAGATTTATTTTTTTTGAAACTACTATTATTTTTTATTTATTTTATCTTTAAATTTTACAAACATAATATAATTCGATAATATTTTGTTTCGTTTTTTAAAAGATACCAAATATAAAAGCTTTACTACTTTTAAGAAATTTTCTAGAAGAATTATGTTAAAGCTTTACTATATATATGTAAGCTCTTTAGAGCTAAAGAAGATCTTCGATCATCAATAATAATAGCTTTAAGAATTCATATTTTCTCTGTTCTTCTGAAGTTCAAGTTTTCTTTTCATAACCACAATTCCAACATTTTACAAGTTGTGAGATTTCACAATATGCAATCAATTCAAAATTTTAAAATATCATTTTTCCGTAGTGTTCTGAGGATATTACTTTATTTTTCTGTTTTAACTCTTGAACTAGGATAAGACCTGCGCCTTGCGCAGGGTGAATATATGTAATTAAAATATAAAATTTTAATATTCACAAATTTAAAATTTACATATGATTATTTTTGTATGTATTTGAAAATTTAGAATTTTTATATAATCATCTATACGTTTGATCAAAAACAACTTTAATTAGAAATGTAAATCAAATCTTAGAATTTAATGGATCTGATTTCATATATCTTTTTACTTTTCAGTGTTCGAGTGATGGAAAATAAATGGAGTGTCACTGGGCTTGATT